AGATGCAATCAGATAACACCTAGTACCTGTTTGAAATTTTCATCTGTGACAAGACATATAAAAGGGCACATTGGAAGTGATGATGATGATTAAAGTCTCCTTCCACTACCCAGAGATGATTTGATATGCCACATATGTGACAAGAAATGCAGATCAATGACTGGCTTTATGAGCCACTGTCATTCACACAACCAATAAATGCCATGTTGTGAGGTGGGGAAGTTTAAGTGAAGGGCTGGATATGTCACTGATGATTATACTTGGTTTTGTGAGTCGACAGCATCCAACGAAATATATAGTATTTTAAATGGTTTTGGATGGAGTTGCCGTAATTTGTTAGTATGTGTGTATTATTGGTAATTTATATAAAAATGTATTACTGGTATTTTTACTATAAAAATATATTTTTATACTTTCATAGTGTTTTGTTTTTGTTTGTGGAGGAGGGGGTCACTATTTGCCCATAGCTGGGACCCTAACAGGTGCTACTACTCCAGGTTAGCATGGACCTGGGAACAAATGAAATTAAGAGGAATCAAACATGTATTCCCTTATTCCATCAGGGACACCTATTTAAAGCCAAGTGTGCCTTTACCAATGTGGCTACAAGAAGCCACCATGACAAAGCCAGTCTCAATTACCATATTTAAGAACTGTACATCTCTCATTGGGACCATTCAATGTCTATATCTGAATTTATTTTCATATCTGAAATGTAAACAAAGTAATTTTTAAGCAATTAATAGATTTTTATTTACTCAGAGATAGGTTTAATGAATTTTTATTTAATCCGAGATATATTTAGTGGGTACACATGTTTGAGTAGAACATCACAGATATTTTTAATTTATTTTAGTAAGGCTTTTTGATCTCTAGATTGATTGACATTCATTTCACTGTTTACAAAAACAAAGAAAAAAAGCATTAGTTAAAAAACATCTAGTTCCCTGACAGTTGTGACTTCAATGTCTGGATCAAGTAGCACTGAACAGTTACATACTCTGGTTCAGTGAAAGAAATAAACATGCAAGACAAAGGTGTATAAGACTGATGAATATTCACTGATATGAGTTATCCCCACTAATCATAGAAAGTGGAACAAGAATGATCTACACCTGTTTATTGAATAAATGGTCCACTTCAAAATTTTGAGAAGGTTACTAAGTATGAAGGCCCTGTGGGGAAGGTGCAACATCCAAAATGTTTTGAATAGAACAGGCAAGAGTATACATGTCTGTTTTTTTTATTCCCTCTAATTCTAACTATATCATTGATCTGAGTTAATAGATGGAGATAGGGAACTATCACAAATGAAATGCAATCATTTGATCTAAACACACAGAGCTGATATTATGATAAAGGTGATAAAAGATTTCAGAAGTCATGGTTGAGAAACTTATCTGAGATGATTACAAAGCAGAAGTGAGATCTCTTCTATTTGGACAATTGTTCCAAACTGATCAAAAAGTAATCATTAATCATTTCCTGAAACAATATATAGTCAGATCCAAGATAAAAACCATACCAACAGTTCCTAACAATGGAAACATTAAAGCTTATTTACATATCTTCTTCTTTCATCGGGAGTATGTGGGTCATAAAAACCTGATCACACTTCTTCTCCGTTTCCCTCCGTCAAAGTTAAGTATCTACAGTTCTGCTGTTGTTTTCTGTCACACATTTGTTTTTAATTGTTTCTCCCCAATCAAGGCAATAATGCCACTCTGACACTAGGGGTTACTAAGTGTGAAAGAAGATGAGAAAATATTAGTGAGGAGAAAAGATAATGAAAGAACAAGATTCAGAAAGACAAAAGATGGTGAGTGATGATACATTTAAACTTTTGAAGCTCATAGATGACAGAAAAGCAAGAGGCTGGAAGGCTTCAAGAAGTGAGAGAAAAGAATTTATTAGAATAAAACTTATGGTTACATCTATTTCAACAGTAAAACAATGAGACCTAGTGGCCAATCTATTACTACATTTAAATTCATATGGTCAAGGTATCAAGGAGGAAAGCCTCTGAACAAAAATATTTATAGAAAAGGCACAGGGAAGCTACAGTGATGGGAAAGTGATTGAAGCCGAAATCCCAGGTTAGGACTGATAACATTACAGACCATTCTTTGGATCTTATCAAGAATCTCAAGATATATAGCAGGAGCACCCGACTAGATGTGGCAGCAATATTCAATGCATGGCTGAATGGTAGATTTATAAATGTGCAAGATGGATTCAGGCAAGATAAATTGCACACCACAGTAAAACAAACTTATCTAAGTGCAGACCTATAATCATTCCACTTCTTGTCAGTATTTTGGATTTTTATGTATTATCTATATATTAATTTCAATTAAAGGTGCAAATTATAATTTATAAATTCATGAATCATTCATACAAAAAACAAATACAGAGGTTAATGATTTAAATCATTAACCTCTATATTTGTTTTTTGTATGAATGATTCATGAATTTTTTTATATATATATATATATATATATATAAAGGAAAAAAGACAATTGAAAAATTGTAGTTTTAGTTGATTCTAATTTCTAATAACGTTCTGTCTAATGTGGACTTTTTCAAGGCAAAAAACAAAACAAATTTATTAAAACAAAGTATCTATAAACATCAAACAAAATGTTGTTAGCAACTAGAAGAATTTAGGAATGCTGTTGTATATTCATATGGTCAACTGAAAAATTATGTCAATTACTTTGTTTGAAGAGAATATTTTCACATGTAGAAATATTGTTTATATTGTTGTGTTGACGGATTCAACCATTTTCTTTTGATTTCTTGATATATTTGTTGTGTATGTTGGCTTGGGAGAGTTGTGATTCTGTTAGGAAAGGCGATATTGGGAAAAAAAACCTGCGTATAGATTAATATTTGGATAATATTCAGTGGTGGCACTCTCAAGGATTTTTCATCTAAGTGAATTATTTTCTTTCTTTTTTTCTTTTTTTTTTATGAATGTAGCATTTATAAAATCAAAATTGTGGTTGAATTTATTTTTATATATTTTTACAGGTTAATTCTGAGAAATTTTTACATATATACTACTTGTCTCCAAATTTACCCATCCCTGTTATAGACACCTGCTCAAGCACATTTGTTTTGTATTTCTTGAAAATCTACAATGCCAACCTGTGGTTTATACTGCAACTATGTTGCATAAACATTAGTTATATTTTCTGGGAGGGAGTGCACAGTCTGGTGTGATCAGTAGTTGAAAAAGGTCACTACTGAAAAGATTGATAACAGTTACTGGACTTGAGAAACCTATTTTCCTGAAAAATTGTTTTAAGAGAATAATTTTATAAATTTGAACAGACATAGTACAAACTGCTCAGTCAATGAATATCAGATGTTTCCTTATAAGGAAATAGCTCATATTCCCATTACCATTCTTATACAAAATTTATTTTTTTGTTCAAAGAACTGCCTTTTTGCAGTTTTGCAGAGAATAGAAATTCTCTAAATAAAAAAAAAACAACTGTCATTTACCTCACAATGAATTGCATTCCATATCATTGTAAGACATTGATTTTTCATCATCTGTCACAATTTTTTAAAAGACAATAACAATAGAATATTCTCATTAAATTTAAGTGGCAAATTGCACACACAAGTCACAGATGAGTAAATAACCAAACTAATGCTTGATTTTTAATATCTTGTATATTATATAGCATCAATTATTCTCAATTAATGTCTTCATTTAATTGTTATCAACATCTTATCTGTCCAATCATTTTACAAACCACTTTTGACTCATTTAAGTACTTACAGTATCTTCTCCATAAATTACATAAATCTTTTTTGTTGCTTTTAAGTTGAGTCACATATTTTTTTTTTACTTTTAAAATAAAAAAAGCATAATCCCTTAAAAATGTTGCTTATTTTCTTCCCACGTCATTATTAGAATCAATAAAATTTCTTTTGCTAATTTTGACAAATCTTTACAAACATTCACTGATATAACAGTTATTGCAATCCTATTAAAAGTGAGCTTTTTTAAATAAAGTTGGTTAAAGCAAAATGCTCTTCATGCTATCTAATGACAAACAAATCTTTTTAACCAACCCAATATTAGTACTATAAAACTGAAAATTGATGGAAATTATAGTTTATTGTAAAATATATTTAGAAAACATTATAGAAAAGAGAGACTATCAGTTATTAACAATTTGAGATTAACATGGATTGAATACATGAGCAACAACAGATTTTTAGAGCAAATGGAAACCAAAAAGACAGTTGAAATTTCTCACTCATAATGAGGAAAGAGGGCTTGGAAAATGTGACACTCATATGACATATTGAAGGAAAGTGATATAGGAAAGCAGCATATAACCTACTCTTGTGTAAATTTATTTATATTTTTTTTACAGTGATGTTCATCCCTGTACAATGGCCAAGAGCCATTCAAGGTAGAAAGTTACAGAATAAGAGGCACAGTTTATGTGAGGTTAGCTCTAGACTTGAACAGGTTAAGATTGTAGTGATTGGGGAAGCATCTTCTTGTGAGTCAGTTCCACAGTGCAGCAGTTCACAGGAAGAAGTTGCTAATGTGGAACTTAGGCCTTGCCAATGGAACATGAAGTGAACGAAGGCGGTTCAATACAATGTGTGTAGGATGGTGGTTCTTAGCCGTGAAGGTTAGAACTGGTGGAACTAACAAATGTAGCTTGTCTAAACATTTTATATGGAAATAGCAATAGAGCAATAAGAAGCTTATAATGTTTCATCTGTGAGATATAGCAAAAAGATAGACTTTACTAAGGGCTTCAAAAACAGGAAGTTGTGGAGAGCAATTCATATATAGTGCTAGCTGCAAGTTCAAATAACGTCAAATATATTTTTACTAATTGATAACATAAGACAAATGTTATTCTTTGTGTTGATTTCTGGTTTTAAATATTTTCATTCAGCTTTAAATGACTGAAAAACAAATGAATTTATGGCTTACCTGGTTTCAAAATTTTATTTTTCAGAATATTTCGCATAAGTTCATGGTGGCTGTTCTCATAGAATATATTCGTTCCCTTAATGAGCACCAGATCAATGTACAGGTAAGCCTTTTACTTTGTGTGTTTTTTTTTTTCTTTTTTTACTGTTGCTTTAATCAATTAATGCACTTCCACTGCATGCTTATTTTTATATACACATACATTTACCTGCACAATTTTCTTTGACTCCTTATCAATAATACACTCTTTTAATGTTTTTCTCTTTTTGACTTTCCTTTTAGCATTATATGTGTCACTGTTGTAATAATTATCTGGGATGTTTTTAAAAACTACAGATCAATTACTGTGTTCTACTAGGTTTCAAACACTAAAGATCTTTTGTTAAAGATTGATTTCCATTCAAGGAAATGATTAAGAAGAAAATTCAAGTTGAAAAAAAAAAATTTTGATGTCAAGAGAAAGGTCAGAAGTTTCTACTTAAGTAATATATATTGATTACATAAGCTTAATTGTCATAAGGAGTGATATTGTATATATCATTCTTTTTAAAATGGAATGGCTTCTCTAGCTTTTTTTTTTTTTTTCATTTCACCCTAAGCAAGACAATAATGCCACTAAGACACAAGGGGTTACTGAGTGTGAAAGAATATGAGAAAAAGGAGGGAGAACAATAAAAGAACTAGAATTCAGAAGTCAGAAGATAACAATCA